GTCCCGGGTCCTTTCAGGCTGCTGCCCGGTGCTGGGCTCAGAGGGAGCGTCCGAGTGAGTCCGTGCCGGGCCCTTTAGAGGAGCTGCTGGGGCTCCCGCAGCCTCCATGACCCTCAGCGAAAGTCCCCGCTGGTTTCACAGCCCAGAATTGTGGGGACATCTCTTCCCGGCCCTGGGGCCCTGGGCTGGGGGCCTGTTGGGGGGCTGGGACCCCTCACTCCTCCGGGAAACCCCCACCACCGAGATGCCCTCCCGGGTTTAACCCGCGGCACCGGGTGTGGGCCGGGGCCCGAGTCTCCCGGATCCAGCCCCGCCCCGCCCGCGTCTCTGCCCCTCCTCCTGGTCTCGGTGCTTCTTCAGCTCCCTGGTTGTGGGGCTTCTGTTCAGCCAGATTTCAGGAGGCTCTGAGCGACGGTGGTTCTGTATTTAGTTGTGATTTTGATGTGGTTGTGGGAGGCGGCGGGTGCAGCTGTTACCTACGCCACCAGCTTGTTTCTCTGCCTCTCCTTCTAGGTACTTTTAAGGTGACACTGCTTCATTAAATTAAATTTTAGTTTTTTTAACAAATTTAAAACTTTCTTCTTCCTTGCTACAACTTCATTTAGGATCTGGCTTTCTCTTCTTTCTCTTCCACCTCCTCCCTCCCTTCTTCCCCTTTCCTTTCAAGGAATATTTTTTTTAAATATGTTTTTATTTCAGAGAGAGGAAGGGAGGGGGGAGAGAGAGGTAGAAACATCAATGATGAGTCATTGATCGGCTGCCTCCTGCACTGCCGCAACTGGGGATCGAGCCCAAAACTCGGGCATGTGCCCTGACAGGGAATTGAACCATGAGCTCCAGGTTCATGTGTCAGTGCTCAACCACTGAGCCACACCGGCCAGGCTCAAGGAATGATTTTTTAAAAAGACATCATTTAAGGTTACTAGGCAAGAATTATAAAAAATTAAGGAATCAAGAAATGAACTTAAAGAGTTGAGAAAATCAAAAGAGAGTGAGTGAGAGCTGAGCTGTGAAAGGTAAGAAGTGGAGTAGCCTGGTTTGGGTACAGTCATCTGAGACAGAAAGATATGGGTGGGTTTGAGGTAGAGAAAGCCTTGGGGTAAACATTCTCACACCAGCCAGCAGGCGACACTGTGGACAGTTGGGTTGCTGCCTGGAGTTGCCCAGGGTGGGGAAGGGGAGCAGAGAGGTAGTGGGCAGTCGTTTAATTCTATGTACAGGATGTTTGCTAGACAGATGTGTGTGAGCAGCCCGAAGTTCTTACCGGAACAAAGGCAAGAATAAATAAATAGTTGAGCCTATTCTGCTGTTTGTTCCTGTACGTGTACATGTATTGAGACTGGCTTTCATCACCAAGCATCATTTAGATGGTGGTGTTTATTTGTTCTCCTTGGCCTGGCCTCCAGGACTGATTTTGAACTTTCTGCTTGAAAATAAGTGCAGAGTGAACTAAAAGTTCCTTTATTCTTAAAAACAGAAATAAATTCTGGGTCTGCTTTGGCATTCTCGGAAAGAAGGCAGAGTGGAAAGAGAAATCATTTGGTAAGAGTCATTTTGCTGAGCACTCTCCTGAGGTAGAACAGAACCTTTGGGGACTGAGTTGCATGATAGATGTGCAGTTTGTAATGACTGAGTGCAGTGAAATTGCTCATCAGTTGAATACGTGGGATGATGGGTCTTTAGAGTGGGGGAGGGGAGTGAAGTGTTGTTGGATCTGCCATCCTATTAGCCCAACATAGTTTTACCATCCCTTAGCTTCCATACAAGTCATGCCCACTTGCTATCTCCATGGGTCGCCATTAAGTTCCCTCCTTAATCTTTCCCATCACACATCATCACTCGTCTTTCTGTAATGCTGCTGTTTCGTGCCTTTATCAAGAATTTCGCCATTCCTTCCTCACAGTCTGAGGGAGTTTCCAATTTTCAGACCAGTGAATGGCAAAGAACCAGCAGAGTTCAGTGAGTAGATGGCCCTGTGGGTATCAGCACTGCACAAAGTAAGTGAAAAGAATCTGAAACCTATGGATTCTTCCAACCCGGGATGTCAGGTTGAAGCCAGCCCCCCCTCTGTCTACTCCAGGAAGTCGGTTATCACTTGAATATTAGTCTAATCATTGATCTGACTTTCCTTTGCAAGAGACTACATACCAAAAGTTAGCACTTTCTAGTTTAGACATTGTTTATTAAATTTTTCATTATGTTGCTGAAGCCAGCATTTGTTCAAGGACATAGCCAAGGAAATAGCCAAGGGTTTTTGTAAATGTTGTTCAGAAAACCGGTCTGATGGCCCCTCCACCCCATCAACTCAACAGGAGTCAGTGAGTAATACAGATTTTTGTTGTTTGGAAATCTTGTAGAATTCTAGGGTAGTCTGGTAGCAGAATTGACAGAATCACTTACTGTTTTTAGAATGGTCCAAATACTGAATCAGCTCCTTAACCTAAAGTAGTATATGTATTCCAAGGGTTGGGAGAGAGAAGGAGGAACCCACAGTATAATTTGTCCTAATCTTGAACCCCTGGTGATGGCTCGTGGACCTGCCCACAACGTCCACCTGTGCACAGAGACGTTGCTGGTTCGATTCCCAGTCAGGGCCCATGCCCAGGTTGCAGGCTCAGTCCCCAGTGGGGAGCGTGCAGGAGGCAGCCGATCGATGTTGCTCTCTTCTTCCTTCCTCTCTCTAAAAAATCAATAAACTGTTCTTTAAAAAAAAAAAAAGTATTCCTGGGCTCAAATGTTTTAAAAGAATTCTTATTCTTAAATGTTCTTAAATGTTCAGCTTCCTGAAATAAGGCGAGGATTGGAGGGAGATGGATATAATGGCTCTGCCCTCTAGTCAGTGCTTCAGTTTTAATACAGTTAATTCTCAATTATGCTGTGGTTCTTGGTGCAAGGATAGACTCATAGACCAGTGGAACAAAACAGAACCCAGAAGCAGACTCCCACAGGCATGGTTAATGGATTTACCACAAAGGCACTGTTACAGTTAGGTAGGGAAAGGATGGTCTTTTCAAAAGGTGATGCCAAGGCAATTGGATGTCCTTTGGGGGAAGTGGGTGAACTCTGACCTCTACTTCATAGCATACACAAAAATTAATTCAAGATGGACCACAAACCTAAATGTGAAAGGTGAAACCGTAAAGCTTATAGAAGAAAACAGAGGAGATCTTTATGGACTTGGGCTAGGCAGCAATTTCATCTACAGGACACAAAATGCACTAATCATACAAGAAAAACTTGATAAATTGGACTACATTATAACTAAGAGTGTCTTAGTTTTTTAAATATGTCATAGGAAGAATCCATAGCGTGTCCTGACAGGAAATCGGGCAGGAATTCTACCCTGTGGGCGCCAGAACCCGCCCCCCACGGAGCTGGGTGACTGTACCTGCTCTGACGAGAGGGAGAGGCGTGCGGGTGAGCCTGGGTGCTTTGTGCGGGGCGGAGGCCTCCCGGTGGGAACGCCTTACATCCCTTGTTGGCTCCGCTAGTGAAAGGCAGCTGGTTCCAGCCCCTCCTACCCTCTGAACACTGGCGTACTTTTCTCAGAACAGTCCCTTGAGCTCTCCTAAGCTTTGATGTCATCTGCTAAGTCCGTGTGTGGGAAGGACGAGCCCCATGGGGGCCCTCAGAGAGGTGAGCGAAAGTAGTTCAAAGTCCAGCCAGATCCGGTCCTGTGGTGTCCCAGCCCTGTGGGTCCAGGGCCCCGGAGGAAGCCTGGGGTGGGGTTGGCACAGTCAGACTAGGAAGCATCGGAGACAGAGCCAGAAACACATAAACACAGCAGAGCATGCTCACCGCATCCACGTTTGCAACAGAAAAACCAAGACCCCTGGCCAAGATAGAGGCTTCCTCTTTAGGCCTATGGTGCAGAGGGAAGGAAGCATGAAAAACTGCGATTGTTCTGCACATTTTTGCAAAGGAAAAAAACATTAAAATGCCCCAGGGTTTTTGTAAAAAATCAGCTTCTAATTCTTCAGATGAGTGGGAAAAGTTCTTGCATGCTGGGATCATTTCCTTTCTGTTTCGAGAAATTAATGGTGTGCTGGAAATAGCCTGTTGCAAAAGGGGAGATTTTGTGTCCCTTGAATGCTGATTATTGCCAGAAAACTTTCCAGGCCTAAGGGGAGGTTGTCCCTTTCCCAGGACTCCGATGCAAGCTGACCCTGCAGTTAGACATCCAGCTGGAAGACTGGAACAGCAGAGCTGAAATTCAGAGGGACTTCTTCATTCATTCAGAAACAGCACTGAGCCTGAGTACAGGCCAGGCTCTGGTCTGGAGTAGTGCTCTGTCCCACTGAGAGCCCAGGCTCCCAGCTCCACTCCTTCCTCTGTGGACTGTCCCTGGTCTCTCTGAAGGCCCTGGTGCCTGAAACCTGACATTCAGAATTAGAAGTAAAAGTCTAATTTCTACCTGTTAAAAAGTAGGTGTGCATGTCTCTTCTGCTGCCAACGTTGGGGAGCTGGCACCCCAGCAGAAAAGAGCAGTAAGCAAGCACAGATCTTTCCATATCTGTTGACTTCCAAAGTGTTGCATTTCGGAGCTGGACCAGGAATCGCCCACGGGGTTTACTTGCATCTGCTCCGGGTAATATGTAACACACTGGAGTCCTGAGACTCTCCCATTGTGTCTTACCTGGGTATTAGTTGCCTCCCAGTTGATTAGAGCAGGGATCAGTACTTCTTCTATGTAGAGCCAAATGGTAAATATTTTAGGCCATACAGTCTTCGCCACAAGTGCTCCACTTGTGCATGGCTGTGTTCCAGTAAAATTTTATTTTGTGCACACTGAAATGTGGATTTCTTAAAATGTTCACATTATGAAATATTCTTTTCTTTTTTTCCCCAACCATTCACAAGCCATGCAGAAACAAGGGGCAGGCCAGATTGGGCCCTCAGGCCAGAGTTCACCAACTCCAGGACCTCTTTTCTCACAAAAAAGATGTATACCACTGATGTTGGTGCTAAGGCCCTTTTTACTGGAGGGGATATGCTAGAGAAGGCTGAGGGATGTGTTCCAGGATCGAGGGGGTAAGGAGGTGTCACTCTGGGCTTTCCCCAGGTGGTCCCACACCGCTGACTCTATTCAGACAGTGCTTTCACAGGTGTCCCCACTTGCCAACAGCCGGTGCCAGGGACCTAGACACAGAATCCTAGAAAGAGCTCTCTCCTTGGGGGCCCTGGTGACACACAGTAGACCTGCCACTGCTTCTCTTTACCCACTGCCTCCCCCAACCTGTACTGGGAAGAAAGACCCTTCCGCCTTCTTCCTTGACACCCAGACCACTTCTGTTCAAAAGTGTCTCCTTCCAGTCTCCTTCCAGTGTCTCTTCCAGTCACACAGCACTTGAAGTTGATCTCTTAGATGAAAGTTTCCATCCCTGCCTTATCGCCACTGACTCGTCCACCTCAGATCCCAAGCTTCTTCAGGAAGGGACTACCATCTTTTCAGGGTACTCGGAACATTTTCAGATATCTTCTTAGATTTCTTTTGTTCCTTCCCCAAGGAGTAGCTCTATGTTGCCACTCCCCAAAAATAAAAATGCTGGTAAACAAAAAAGAAAAACACAAAACATTTTGGAACTAAATTTTCACTATATTAATTAGAAAGGCCCAGATAATGCAAAACAGCTGGCAAATTCAAACTCATTTAAGCATGATTTGAGAGAGAAGAAAATCTTATAAACAATAAATTTTTCTTCCTAATTATTTTTGGTTTTGTCTATTATGCATTCTCAAAGCAGAGCTTAGAATCATGCTGGTGGCCGGGGTATGTCAGTCTCGGCTTTGAAATTTGCTTCAGATAATTCACAGAGGGGACGGCCTCATACACATACATAATCAAGTATTTATTTCCTGGCATGCTGACTGATGTTAAAGACTGTTTTAAAAAACATGTTTGATTTTGTGCCCTCTCTTGTAGGTCCTTCTATTGTGACACCCCCCAAGAACATCTGGAATGTCACTGGTGCCAAGGTGTACCTGAGCTGTGAGGTCATCGGAATCCCAACCCCTGTCCTCATCTGGAACAAGGTCAGTGACACAGATTTCAGGAACACATCCTAGACTGACAAGCTCCTCTCTCACTGCACAAAGATGGTACGAATCTAAAATCCTCTGCCGGTTCCACTGCCTGTTGCTCCTCCAACGTGAAGCCTTATGGTAGTCTTCCAGATTTGTCCCTGGGATCCAGCCGGCATTTTTACTGACCTCCAGAATAGCCCCTGCTCTGCTTTTGTTAGCAGTGCTGGAGCAGGGAACCTTAGGAACTGGGAAACTATAATGCTGAACACCCATACCCACCCTTGAGTGCGTGTACGTGTGTGCCTGTGTGAGCATGCGTGTGCTTCAGTGCGAATGTGAGCATGTGCGTGCATGGGGGGGTCCCCATTGGAGGAAGAAGAATGTGAGTTCTTAGCCAGGCTGGCTGAGTTCACTCTAAGCCAGGGTTTCTTAGCCTCGGCACTGTTGACAATTTGAGGCAGACAATTCTGTGTTGTGGGGGCTGCCCTGTGCCTTGTAAGATGTTTAGCAGCATCCCTGGCCTCTACCCACCCCCTCAGTTGTGACAAATGTATCTGCAGACATTGCCAAATGTCCCCTGGGGGAAAAAGAACCTAGATTGAGAACCACTGCTCTAAGCCTCAGTTTCCTTCTCTGTGTGACAGGTGTGGCATATAATTCTTGCAAAGATTACGCAAAGGAAGGCAGGTAAAATCACGTGGCTTGTCAGATTCGTGGTTAGCATAGATTGTTAGCTACTGTTCCTGGAAATGTTTCCCTTCAAGTGGCATTATCTTGTGTAACTATCTCCAGATTTGAAGGACAACATATTCTCAGCATGTCTGTAGAAGGGATAACATTTGCCAGGTCAAATACTACTTACCAATTGTCCTGTCCAGTACTTTCTATTTCCCTGTTTATACATTTTGACTCATTTAAGCGCCCCTCACGACAATCCTATTGAGTAAATATCATCAGACTCGTGCTAACCAGAAGGAAATCGATTTCAGTAAAAAGGCATAACCAGAGCCTTCTCGGTAGCAGGTTCACCTCTCCCGCAAGCTCTAGGATGGATGATGGTCTCTTGATTATTTTGATGCTTGGTGTCTAACCAGAGGAGCAACTGCTGGAACTCTGGGATTTTGGCAGAACTCATTTTGTTGCAAGTTGTAGAAACTCACTTCAAACTAGTTTAGTCAAAAATATTGGAGGGTGGGGGTCCAGGAGGGTGATTCCAACCTCAAGGGCAGCTGGATCCAGGCACAGTGTGCCCAGGCTCCTTGCTCTCGACTGCTCTCAATGTCCTGGTCTTTTTTTCCTTCCACCTCAGAAAGCTTCCTCCACACTTGTCACTCGCAGCTCCAAGTGCACATTATTACCACGGTTTAATGACCCCAGAGGAAATTTCTTTCCGCCTTCTACTGCATTTAGGATTCCCACTGAAGCACCTTGCTGCACCTCGGGACACCGGCCATCCTCTGGCGCCCCCATGTGGCCGGAGGCTGCATCGCCGCCTTGGGGGCCCCTGGTGGGAGTGAAGTCAGGGTTTTTCCAGCAAATGCAAACGGAGTGGGGTGGGCAGAGCACCAGCTGTACTACAACTGCCCTTTACAGCTGAAACTTCTGTTAAAGGAATCAGTGAAATTTCACCTCAGTAAGTTATTTTTTAAAGGGGGACGGGGAGCAACGAAAAGCAGAAATGCAGCCGGTGGGCGTGTACCTCCCGGCCTTCCTAGCCAAAGATGCAGACGCCCCTGTTGCGTATTTGAAGGCTGCTGGTTGAGGGGGGGCTACTTATTTGGAGGGGAGAGGCGGAGGAACAGCATTTCCAGAGACTATCCTTACAAAGCTCTGTGCTGTGCTCTAGGGATTACACAGTGGAAGCCAGGGTGACCCCAGTGTCCCGGGCATGTGACCTATTGACAGATCTGGCAGCCAGTAACTTCTTCAGCCCTTTACCTGTTCCCACTCCCCCCACTCCCCCCC